ATTTTCAATTGTTATTTATTTATTATCACAAAAAGTGGCAGGTATCGGATTTTAATTGATTGAACTACAAGAACTCATCCAAAATTGGTTATAAACAGTGGTTATGTATGATCAGTCCTTAATTTGACAGGTTGGCAGGTAATTAGCAATAGTTGAAAGGTGTTAATCAGTGCCAATTGTCAATTTAAGTACCTTAATGTGCTACACTTTATGTTACGTGATTAAGTACGAGCATATAATTTTCAGAAATAACACAACTACCTCAATATTTATTAATGAGTTTTTAATTGTTAAAAGCTAAGTGTCAATAAAGTCAATGAACTAGTAAATATTGTTTGTATTGTTTTTGCATTTCTACACTTCGTAGGTCAGGTATTTACTACAGTCAGCGACAAATAGTTCGCGAAGCAACCAAAATGTTCGCAACACGTCTTTGTTACAGTTGGAATAAGGTTGCGTTGCTATTGGACGCTAACTGTGCTACTTTTTACCAATCGATCAACATGGAAAGCATTGGGGGAGGCCTATGTTCAGCAGCGGACGTCCTATGGCTGAAATACAAATACAAATATTTTATTTATGCAAACACACCGTTTACGCATACACCTTCAAATACAATTGGTAACAAATTGGTAATAAAGTGATGATGATGTCATTTTTTGATGAAATTGGCGCACAAGCAATGAAACTCATGCACATTTATTATATTTTATTTTGTAATCAATAGTGATTTAACTACTATAAAATAATTGTTGCGAAGAGTCTTGCCTATAAAGTGCTTAGAATGCCGAACTTGAAACTTCAAAAATGCACTCAAAGTAATTCGACATTTCCCTACACCCACTTGTAAATACGCATTTCATTGGAGCACTAAAGTGAATCAGCACATTTCCCTTCGTTAAAAATAACTAGCGCGGCATAATTAATTTACGAAGTTTAATTATCTCATCAGGCGTAGGCCCGTCCAATTTGCCCGGGCTTATCGGCTCGTCACATCGGCCGACAGCTCAACACTTAACAACCTACATTGTAATGCGAGAAATCATATTGTTTGTAATTAGCGTTGCTAGAAGACAACGGATTATAATTTTAACAATTCCGTCGTTAAAGTTATCTCGCGGTTAAATCATCAAAGAAGTTGCTCCCGTACAAGGTTTTAGGATTTGACATTAGAACGTTGTCCAAACGAATTGTTTTTTATAAATTAGATGGGTCATTTAATTTGAAATTACAGCACAAACATTATTAGGTGTACCTAAGTAGTCTAATTATTGTCACTGTAAAAAGAAAAGACAGAACTGAAAAAATATCTTTCGTTAACTAAAAACACGGTCAAACGCAGAAAGTTCTATGCTGCTTTTGTGAGATTCGAATTTCGACATTATTTGCTTATTTTATTTGTTACATTCATGATCCTTCTTAATGGATGAACTTTATAAGAAATCACGGTACCTAAATAAACTACGACTTATTTCTCGAAGTAATAAACATGGATTTTAATAAAACATCGCGGAATTATCAGTTCCATACAGATAATAGTTGTAAATTCTAAAATAAACTGATCATTATTGTACAGCTTGCATGTCTGGCGGGTTTCGTCGACTTCCAAATTAAATTACACCTAGAGTTCTGTGCCAATTTTATAAATGATTTATCAAGTTGTCACAAAGCTGCTCGATAATTAATTACCAACATCGTATTTGTACCGCCTTAATTGTGGTGCTGCCAGATTGATTTTTAGGCTTTTTCGTAGTGTGAAAGAGTAAATGACGTATGTAGGTATTGTAAAGAGAAATAGTATGTATATATTCGTTACGTTGCGGAAACACAAAGAAGTTCATGTTAAATTGTGAGTCAAAAATGATGACTCATTTTATTTGTGAGATTCAATGTAACCTCCATATAAAATTATACACACAACGTCCATATAAGCAAATTCAAGGCTATTTTTGTTTACTAGTGCGATCCTTGGGTTGGAAATGTTTTCCGATAACTCATAAATTTAATTAAGAGTAAATTCTATAAAATAATGAATTTCAGTTAAAAAAAGTCCCATCCTTAATATTTTTTATGGCTTGAAAGTGCCAACCAACGAAAAAATTATGTGGATGGGAATCCTCGTTTAGAAAAATAATATGGTGTCAAAGTTGTACGATTACTCTAAGGCAAGTTAGACACATTTGAATATTTGTTTTCTAAAAGTGCTGAACAGTGAAAAATAATTAAAGATATTGCTAGACGTTTAAATTTAGCACTTCCAGTGCCGATTCACAGAAATGAAGCATTTGAAAAGACCTAAGTAGAGTCTTCAGCATTTTTTCAACAGACAAAAAAATGTAGAGTAAATTGTTGAGTTTCGCACATCAATACACTCAATCAATACAATATGCTTCCTTACTTTAAGTATTGGAACACAATTTCGTTAGCTTTACTATTAATTAGTTGAACTGATCACTAAAATATTGTAACGTAAGAAATCTAGCAGTCGCTATGTTTCGAGTTAGGCAAGTTTGGGACTTTAGGAAATCTTGATAAAGCTGAAATTACATTGACGTTTTATAAGACCTTACAAATCATTTCATAGATGAATTAAAAAGACTTTCAACACAATTTAATTAATTGTCTTTACCAAAAATATAATTGGCATTAAATTACAATACAATCAATGAATTTAGTACAATTTATGTACTGCGGTGATTCGAAAGTAAACACACAAAGTTAATCATTATGATATTTATTGAAAAAAATAAAATAAATAATGAGTTTTATGCAATGTCACGAACAAATAAATGAAATGATGTATTATTTGGCCCCAGCGACAACTTTATATCCAATTATTCCAAAATTATTGCTACACAAAACACGGTTTTAAATCTCTTTGCTGCTAATTTTGCAACCTTAAGTCGTCTACAAATGTAAGAAGACTTTTCGTATATAAATAAATTGACATTGTCTATTGGAAGAATTAAACAGGCCTTAAATTTGGTGGACCGGCGATCTGGTAAAGATCGTTGTGAAATCCTAGGGGGAGGCTTATTTTGTCCAGCAGTGGACGTCTTTGGTTGAAACGAACAAACGAAAAAGACAACAAGATTGAAAAGCATTAACAAAGCAATAGGGCTTTTTGGATAGCTTCAAAATTTTTTACTTAATTCGTCTTAAATATTTTTGTTAGTGGGAAACTTTGACAAACTATAGGCTGAGTTGCACCATCTAACTTTAACTGTAGCTATAACTATAACCGGTGTATTTTGTATGGAGTTTGACATATTCCTGACGTTTGTTAAAGTTAAAGTAAAATGGTGCAACTCAGCCTAAAGATGTTTATGTGCTAATATTTTGCATCTCCCTATTCAGGCNATTCAGGCAGCTGTAAAATTCTAGTCTGTCAATATCTTGTTTTGATTACAGAATTTGAAAGTGTCCAATGTCACATTCTTATCTTAAAACCAGTGAAAAATGTTCTCGGAAAAATCTCGCTTTTCTAATATCTATAGGTATAAAGTATTTACTTTCCGCTTGTTTCCTGCCAATTAATAAATCTATTTTAGCTTAGAACAAATTAAATCAAAAAGATTCGTTAATTACATTACTACATTACATTTTCGGTAATCCTTTGTTGTGGTATTTTGCTGTAAAAATAATTCATAGCTCATAAGGAGCTAATGAGATTACACAATTTGCAATAAATTGCGATATAATAGAGTTATCACACGTCCTTTTACGATTACAACTGAAGTTATTTGAAATAGGAAGTAATATAATGCTCATGTCCTCCAGTTTCCTTAAAAGGGTCTAAGTTCATCAGGTGAGATACAGGCCAAGAGCTTCCTCGTTGTGGATAAAAAAAAAAAAAAAAAAAAAAGTTGATCCACTAATGGCATCATTAATTTGATCGCATTAACTAATGATGTTGGCTTCGGGTAAATAGCAACGTATTAACATAACACGTATGAATAAAAAATGCATTCAATAAACATCTGTCTTACAACGAACTAATGCACTATTCCAATGTATTGCTAAGCAAGATTTTTTTACAAGACTGTCATAATATCTAATGGTTAGTGTTACTGAGGAATATTAACTATTGGGTTAACTAAGCACTTAATGATAGAGAAAATTGATGATTGTGGTAATTAATATACGTCTTGTTGGAGTAATTTACCAATAGGTTGTTCCTATGTGATTAAAGAAAAGCTCTTGTTTTTATGGTTTGTGCCAACCTTAGCCGAATGCCCTTTAGCGATCATAAAATCCAATTGTCGACTTTAGAGTAATTAATTTGAATTAATTATCAAGGCAATATCTAGGTTAGTCGAAAATACAATATCGAGCTGAAGTCATAGATCGTTAGCGAATTTTCCAAACAATAAACTTAGGTAGGTAATAACAGTAAACAATAATATTGTTTACTACTAGCTCTAAAGTAAAATATTTAATATCAACTTTGTCAGCTCGTTTAGACAATTCGTAAAATATGTTTGTTTTAGATTTCTTCAGTGGAGCTGAAACAATTATGATTTGATAATTGTCTATTTAAGCTTCAATTTTTATAGCATAGAAAAGTCCATCCCAATCCCAACTAATATTATAAATGCGAAAGTAACTCTGTCTGTCTGTCTGTCTGTCTGTTACGCTTTCCCGCTTAAACCTCGCAACCGATTTTGATGAAATTTGGCATAGAGATAGTTTGAGTCCCGGGAAAGAACATAGGATAGTTTTTATCCCGGTTTTTGAAACAGGGACACGCGCGATAAAGTTTTTCTGTGACAGACAAAATTCCACGCGGGCGAAGCCGCGGGCGGAAAGCTAGTAATTAATATCGTTGATTTAATAACGGAAACACAGTAATGTATAAACACTGCAACATCTTATCTCGTAGCAATACTTAGGTTCTATTTTGCAATAAATTAAGAAGACTGTTGTGTTGTGGACTTTACATATGAGTTCAAAGCACTTCATCTTTTCTACATCACTAAACCTCACCATTTTCTCCACAGATTGTACTGAACTCCATGCACCGGTACCAGCCCAGGATCCACTTGGTGAAGGTCCGCGACGGAGGTGGACCGATCACGGACCTCTGTCGTGAACAGCACCGCACGTTTGTGTTCCCTGAGACCGTGTTCACGGCTGTCACGGCATACCAGAACCAACTCATCACAAAACTGAAGATTGACTCGAACCCTTTCGCGAAAGGGTTCAGAGATTCCTCGAGGCTTACGGATTTTGATAGGTTAGTACACATTTTTTTAAATCGATCGATAAAAATACGACAACAATTTAAGGCTGAGTTGAATCAACTTATTTTGACCGTAACTTTAACAATAACCAATGCTTTTTGTATGGATTTTGACAGATTTATGACGTTTGTTAAAGTCAAAGTAAGATGGTGCAACTCAGCCTAAGTGTTGAGGTTAAATAAGAAAAAACTAGCTATCCAATTCGGGAAAAAATATCATACCTACATAGATTCCGTGTTTTACCTAGTAATTTCTCTTTTTTTACTTATTCCTCGTTAATGTCATGACATTAAGTTACAAAGTAGGTATCATACTCAAATTATTGACTGTTTACGTTGGTGTCCTCACATACCTGAAATAATGAAAGAGATTATTCACCGCAATAAGCTTAAACGATTTTGTGCAGACTCGATTCGACAACCAAGCCGGCTCGTTTAAAACCTTTTCTGAGCGAAACCTTAAAAAACTTATTATCCTCATACTTAAATTGTAAGGGTCGACATCGATTAGCGCCTCTAAACAGCTTTAAAAGCTCTGTCCGTCAAAGCCAAGGTTACTTAAAGGACCCATCTGACGGTCGTCCTCACATGTCCATAATAACGCTAAAGTGTTCCAAATCTATACGTTCGGAGCTCGAGGCAGGTTTGATAAATTGGCAGGTTATTAGCAACAGTTGAAAGGCATTAGGTCGGCCGCCCTGCAATTTGCGCGGCGAGCGATTTTAACATGAATAAAAGATTAAAAACGCTCGCCTGATTGCCCGATACGAGGCTGCTGCGATCGCGATCCCGCTCCGTGGTTATCTCCCACATCTATTTTATTCCGAAATAATTGTAGGGTCATTGTTAAATTATTTCATTTCACAATCCATTTCGGTTTCAAGGAATTGATAGTGGATGCAATGATATATTGATCACTAGCTTTTGTCCGCGGTTTCGCCCGCTTCATTTCTGTCTGTCACAAAAAGACTATCACCGTCGTGTTGTTTTTTCAAAAACCGGGATAATAAAAACTATCCAATGTTTTTCTCGCGTGTCAACCTATCTCTATACCAAATTCAATCTAAATTGATCAAGCAATTTAAGCGTCAAAAGGTCACAGACAGACGCCGTATTCACAAACATTACTATGAGGTCTCACAGTGCTCGTGGACGCATAGGCTCACACACGAACCAATCACAGAGCTCTATGTGCGTTCGATTTGCTGATTCACATAAGCAAGCATCGTTTGTGAATACGGGTGTTAGTTACCTTTGCATTTGTAATACCTATTCATACTGACTTTTATGTGTCTGGTGGATATAATGTCTCATTATTTGGATTCAATGGTCTTGAGAATGAAGAAAAGGGTGTTGTTACTGAAATAAAGATGGTAAATAAAGGTTAAGCTGTTATTAGGTCATGTAATTCCAGAAATTATAGCTCTGAATACCTAGATCGTTACTAAAACAGAACTTTATTTACAATTTTGATTAGTTAAACTAATTAAAAATTCCCTTAACATTAGCAATTGAGCAGTTCAACTTATTGCGATAACCTTATAGAGTCTTCTATCATAGGTATTCTATAGGTTTAATATTTCAGCACAGATGTGACGTGCACGCGGCAGTTTATCAACGTTATTTACATATTGAATGTGTGGCGTTCTATGTACGCCACAATCCGGACTCATTGGTCCGCCCGCGGCGCTCCGTGCCGCGCTCTCCTGGCCGGCAATGAAAAAAGAAGAATTTATGTTGTCACTTTTTGACACTTCCCTGCGACTTGCGCCTTTGATTTTTTNATCCATTTTGGTTTCAAGGAATTGATAGTGGATGCAATGATATATTGATCACTAGCTTTTGTCCGCGGTTTCGCCCGTTTCATTTCTGTCTGTCACAGAAAGACTATTACCGTCGTGTTCCTTTTTCAAAAACCGGGATAAAAACTATCCAATGTTTTTCTTTCAATGTCAGTCTAAATTGATCAAGCAATTTAGGCGTCAAAAGGTGACAGACAGACGGCCGCATTCACAAACACTATGAGGTCTCACAGTGCGCGTGGACTTATAGGGTCACACACGAACCGATCACAGAGCTCTATCGTTTGTGAATACGGGTGTTACTTTTCATACTGACTTTTATGTGTCTGGATATAATGTCTCATTTGAATTCAATGGTCTTGAGAATGAAGAAAAGAGTGCTGTTATGACTGAAATAAAGATGGTAAATAAAGGTTAAGCTGTTATTAGGTCGTGTAATTCCAGAAATTATAGCTCTGAATTCATAGATCGTTACTAAAAAAGAATTTTATTTATAATTTGGATTAGTTAAACTAATTAAAAATTCCCTTATCATTAGCAATTGAGCAGTTCAACTTATTGCGATGACCTTATAGAGACTTCTATCATAGGTATTCTATAGGTTTAATATTTCAGCACAGATGTGACGTGCACGCGGCAGTTTATCAACGTTATTTACATATTGAATGTATCTATTAAATAATGGGCTCTTTGCAAATGAGACGTTTTTAATTGACGGCGATATGCGATGTCACTTCACGACTATTTCACGTCGGTATGTCATTCGTAGGTAACTTCATCGGACTAAGGCATACCTTATTTTTTTAATTACACCAAACTCAACTACCATGCTTATTTTGACTTTTATGTAGTAGAGTGAATAATGTTATTGATAGCCTTAAAGTTAAGGTATTAAGTGCTCATTTGCAATAAATATTTACCTACACACTTGATGTGTGTTACCTATGCACCTAAGTCGAGACCTATACCTTGTAGTACCTACCTACATTTTCCCTAATAACTTTTTCTTAACTTCTTTATATCAATACTTCTTCTAGATATGAACCCTTGATCTGTAATGAAATCTAATAAAATTCACTTCAATTCCGTCTTCAAATTACTAAGCAAACAAAAATCTGTTTGGAAGTTAAGGTTCCTCCTTATTTGGAAGCTGCGTGCTACTTTTGCGTGTATATCTTTATTCCATTAGATTGATAATAATCGTACAGTATAAATATCATACGTTTTTAATAACGAAGGATGCAGTCACCTTTCGACCTTAGTTGGGTTAATTATTATTTGCCTAAGTAAATTATTGACAATTAGTCTCTAAATCGTAGATGGAGGTCGTGCAACATGCTGCGAACGTGGTAATATTCTGTAGTTTATTAAAGTTTATTCTATAATGACTTCTTCTTGATAGCCTGTAAGTGCCGCGCACACTAGTATTAAATAAATGGTGTCAACTTTACGAGTTGCCAGGAATGTGGCAAGTAATTTGATTACAGGGTTATATTGGTGTTGCCATTTTAAGTTTATGATTAAATAAAATAGGAATATTTAATAACATAGTATGACCTCATCTAATGTATTAAGTGAGTCAAGTTAAAACCACCTGACTATAAGTTTGTTTTTGCATTGTAAAAGCTTTAAGCTTGTTTGTTTTCTAAGAGAGGAATTTTCGTATTGTGACTAATAAAAACTCTATCGCTATCTGATTTGCCTATGTTAAAAGTCACAAATTCAGAAGTTAGGGGATTCCCCAGCCTCTTCTCAACTCATTCGTGTTGGTAGAGTTCAACACATTACATTTCAACAATTGTTGTTCTTAGTAAATAAATAGGTACTTCGACGTAGACACTTAACTTAAACACTGTAAATCACTATATTATTCAGGAATCGTGAGACTTTGTACGTAACAGTGAGTTTCGCGAATTCCTGTTTCTGTGTACTCATTAATTTGGAGTTATTTCAATGATGGCCGGCGTGGAAGCGCGAATTAGCCGACAGGCACGAGATCGCGCGGGCGTTCCCAGAGCCTTACCATGGATTCTCACTCTCACTTAAAGAGTGCTCTCGGCTGAACTACGAAGCTAGCATATGAACAAAGCTTTTATTAATACTGTACAGTTCCTTTACAAATTGGTAGGCGAATATTGCTCGTAAGACATTATCTGCTAGTTACCTTTGGGCTAAGCAGAAAAAAAAATCTGGCGATGCTTAGAAATGAAAATAAAATATATTTATTTAAGGCACATAATGAAATAGACTTTTATTTTTACGGATAAGATAAAAGAAAAACCACATTAATTTCTACACAAGGCAAACTTAATGTCATAAGGCATTCTCTTACAACCAGGGCTAAGCAGAATAAATTCGTATGGGGATGTTTTAAAATTAAAAAATAATAAAAAGTACACACAAAATAACAAAATAATATGAAATGTACATACTGTAGAATGAGATAAAAAAAACCCAACTGAAGAAAAGAAAAATAATAGAAAATAAAATTACAATGATTCCGCCGCGTTTGGATTCTAATAGTGTTTGTTTTATTCAATTGTAATCTACGTACTGAAAAAAAAAATACCGAAACCAATATTATTTTATAGAAATAACATCTCAATATTCAAAGATCCTTAGTATGTGCGAGATGAGGGCGGGGAGCGGCGCGGGAGTGGAAACGGCTCACGTCAACAGCGGCCGGCGGCGGCGGCGGCGTAATCACAGGCCTCGCCCTCATTATGCCCTAAACGACAAATTAAAGCGCATTTCTATTATCTGGCCATCGGTGTGATGCGCTTTCGGCCGACCGGTTCACCGGAGGCGTGATCCGGACACGTTTTCGCGGTCAGGTGTTTGTCTGGTTTTATGGACCGAGCAATATTCTCGACTCGAACTCTAAAAAGAGAAAAGGCTCGAGGTAATGTCGATTGTGCCATAATTAGAGCTCAGCTGCATCTAATTCGCAGATGTCGACGAGTGATAGAGAACCCGAAGGACACTGGGCTGCGCCTTTAAATATTTTGATTAAGAAATTTGAATATCGATCCAATCTGGAAACTTATTAACTTATCGAGCGGTAGCCTAATTCCCTCTAATTAATTGAAAAGCTCGATCGACGTCTAATAAATACCCAAATTACTAGGTCCGTTTTGAAACGAACCACTTATTAAGCAATATTGCTTCCCTTCTCGAAGCACCTCCCGAGCATGATCTGCAGAATTATCGAGTCTATTAATAATCTAATTTCAGTGCGCGTCAGTACACGGCTACCGATTTGGATTAATTGATACTGCATAGGCGTGCGATGATAGTTCACTGGGCTAGTGATTGACGGCTAATTCGAGATGTTATCGATGCAATTACCCCGCATCCGCCGCCCGTCGCGCCATCTACCGGCACTGGAAGCTCTTTCTTGCCCGCTATGAGAAAATATTGAATTATGCAAGCTTTTAACTAGTGTGTGCTCAATGTGCACATCATCGATGTAATTAATAAAATTATTAGTGGCTACTTTTATTACGAAGCGGTGTAGTTTCTAAATTTTTAAGTGAACGTAAGTGTTCTCCTGAATGAAAAAATCATGTAGGTACTTAGGTAGGTTCATTAACATAAGTATGCTAGTAAATAAGTATAATAAACCATGCTTACTTCACCTCCAGAATTTGTGTAATTATACCGTTTATTTCTGAAATTTAAACGTTCAATTTACATATCTCATTCCATCAAATAAAATAGTGTTAAAATAATACTTGTACGTAATTTATAAGCTGTACTCTCACCTGACCGTGATCTCGACTCGCGTGTAACGGAATGAAAGGCAGAATAATTAGAGCCTTCGCATATTATATCGCTCGGTGCGTTTGATAGGTGTCAGTCACCGGCGCCGCTACCGTGCGCTGCGCCGGCGCCGCGCTAATTCAGCCCAATGCGTAGGAGTGCTGATAACATCTCAATGCAAATTGCCACTCAACCAGCTGCCAGCTGACAATCCGTATTCCGATTTCGAAACCCGATTAAGTAGGTAGGTACTTGCTTTCGCCGGCCATTGTTCACCACCGTCTGATGAGGGCATTCAATAGTATTTCTATTTAGATTGCCGAATTCACACCGCCATAAATAAAAATGTTCCAAACAACCGCCTAACGGCGCTCAACCTTAATGACTTCCTTCGCTGACGTCCGAAATCGTCAGACAATAAGTATGATGAATTGCCATTGTGTGAGAATCGGGCGGTGGAGTTAGTTCGCGTGGTGGCCGAGGCGGCTTTTCATCCATTAATTAATAAGATACGCCCCTCGCTCAATCAGGGCCGATATTTAGCGGGCGAGGATTTATATTTATGCTCGGACGCACCTCTTCGTTAATTGCATGCGATTCACTTAGGTACGAGCTAGAAATAACTTTAACGACAACTGCATGTACGCCGCGGGCGGAGGTAGACGTACAGTTACGTCCCTTAAATATCTTTAGGCGTCATTGCGGTAATACCCGTTATAGTCACTCGACTTAACATGAAATTTACAATAATAATAAATTTTGTAGAAAACCGAAGAAATTGTTTCCAATGTTTCAGATATGTTGGATTGAACGATTTATAGGATAATGTTGTGAAATGTATGACGCGAGTTAATGCTAGTCGATAAGAAATGTCGATAAACTACTAAGTACAAATGTATCAAGATTTTTCTTATATTAGTAGCCTGTAACTGTGCCTCTTGCATAGAGTTATTTAAATGAAATACTTTTCCGGGTAGCATAATAGCCACTATTTCAAGGAGATGGATCAGATAGATGTAAATTACAAATGAGTTTCAGCGTCCAGTGCATAAATATAACTGAGTACTGTACCGAAAGGAAGCAATATTTCATTTCATAATCAGATGGCAACATTATGCATTCGAGCACAATGTCGATAAGCGTGAACCGCGGCGAGATATCGATAAGCTGGCTCGGCGCGGCCCTAGCGGCGGGCCTCTTGAGCCGCCGCCCTGTAATTTGCCGGCGGAGAGTGTTGGCTATTACTGCTGATACCGGGATCATAATAAATACGCCATTAACGCCCCCACAGCCCCCGAAACGACATAACCACCCAGACTAACTGGCTCTGATTCGTACAAGAACACGACTGTACTTACGACCTTTTACTGCTCGCAAACGAAAGTGTAAATTTTAAAACATTACTGTCGAGGAATGTGTTAGTTAAAAATTAACTGGTCTTGATTGGTGGTAATCGTGTGACTTTATTGTATGGCTATTTCTTTATTGTTTTTGCAAACTTAACCCCGTTAAGTTTGGGTTTATCTTATTTAAGTAACCAAGGTCCCTCTGTCACGTCACGTAGTAGGGATTATGATTTCATCAACCGCGCTAACTAATAAAAAAACACGCCAATTCACGCGACTTCACATTATGTTAAAATACGCTGGTTGACGACTTGAACTAACAGATGAAGTCGATTTGTACGGAATATTATGATCTAAAAATTAAAGGTGTAATAGATTGTGTATTGTGTGCTTCTTTGATGTAGGTAGATGTTTAATAATTTTGATCCACTATTTTTGATTACGGTTGCGTGTTTTGTGTTGCGGTAACACATGTTGATTTCGTGTGAAGTGGCTAAATGATCGGGAATAGGCGAGATAATCGCCGGTTACGATAACACTAATATCCCATTATTCACTTTTTTCAAGCTAGATCGTTTGTAAAAAATCCATGTCTCACGTACGTGTGGGCTCTCCACTACCTGTTTTAATTTCTGGAGAGAACGCGCCGGCGCCCGCGGCCGCTCGAGCGGTGATAGATTAAATTCGACACGCCATCTCATGATGTCATGCCAATTTTGAGGCTCACTTCGAGCCAGCCGTGTCGTCACGCTCATTTAACGCTCCAGTGTATCTCGAGACCCAGCCCGTTATTAATAAACACCTCGCTACACAATAACTCCCGCCATAGGGAAGTGATCGTGCTCCGTCTGATTTCTATTGAGAGGCGTGAGATGCATTATTGTACGCTTGTAAGTGAGTGGTGTCGATAGTTTCGTAGAGAGGCGAAAATAGCGGGTTAACGGGAAGCGTGCTCGGTGGCGGTCGCGACAACCTCCGGGAACCGATAAAGGGCATCACGCACCGCAGTTAAGGGCCGGGACGCCTCGTTAACCGCGCTGCACTCGTAAACCGGCTTCAGCGAAACAATCGCGAGAGATATTGTGTGAATAGATTACCACTCTTCATGTTTCATCCTATCTTATTTGTTATCTTACCTTTTGTGTCACAGTCGGCCAGCACGTTAACACTTTTCCATTGTGTTATTTTTAGCCGTAATAACAGTCATAATCACACTTATAAAATTTTATGATATCTGCGAGCGCACATGGCCAGTTGTTCATCTTTCCTCGAACACGGTTTTATAGACTACAGACCGCTGAAAACTGGCAAACATATGAACACGCAAAATGTATGTTTTCGCAGAATCCTTGTCGTCATACTTACTGCAGTTTAGATCCAAAGTTATTTTTACATCATAGATTTCAGCTGTGTGTATCTTTTTGTGCCTAAGATTTGGTAATCTTTCAACGTTCTAAAACAGTTTCTTCTCTTTTTCTTCAGAGATCCAATGGAGCTGATGTTGATGGAGCAGCAACTGCTTCGGTCTCCGTTACGGCTGTACGCAAGTGGGGCGAGCGGAGTCGGTGGAGATGAAGAGGCTGAGAAGCGAGCGGCCTGGGCGCGGACGCCTCCTGCGCTGCAACTGCTGGCCCTCGGCGGGCGGGCCTGGCCCACGGCGTGGCCCCAGCCGCTGGCCCTGCCGCCGGACCTGTGGCTGCAGAAGCCCCCGGCGCCGCTCCGCTACTGCCCCTACCCGCCGCCGGCGCACCCCGGCGCGCCCCCCACGCGACCTGACCACTCGCCCTCGCCACGACACCCGCTGTGAATTCACGCAACCATTCCAAACTCTTAGTGGTGATTTCAAAAGTGCTGTGACGACTACCGAGATCCGATCTCATCGATACACCCTCAACATGAGATCGACGGGACTTCGAATATTTAATGTGAATTTTAAACTAGTACCTTAATAGAGAATCGAATGTATTAAATAAACGTAAGATTATCGATAGATGTACTCTAATATATAATTTCAAGGTTCCTACCCGAAAAAAGATATTTTGAATTGTATTTAACGTAGATTTTATGAAATTGATACTTATGAAAACATAAAAATATAACAATAGTTACCTACACTCTTTAACTTTGCTTTTCAGTACCGTCAGCATTATTTTGTTGGAATTTTTATTTACTTACGACTTGTTACAATTGATTCTTATTGCACAATGCATCACAGAACCAGATTAGCATAATAAATAAATCATTAATTAACCAAAGAAAATTACTAATTACAAAACTATAAAACATTCCATTTGGCGTGTCATCTCATTGTCTACCTACACATCGAGATGAGACGACGTTAAAATATAACTTTCTAACGTTGCGTTCCTCATAATTTTAAACTATGCATTTGTCTCTACCATTAATGATTCCATGACTCACATTTATTCTCATGAGTTTCCTTTTGTCCCGTTATCTACAAATCGGTGATAATACTAACATTGTTTAGATATACATATTATAATAACATTATGTGTGTACATTGTAATTAATAAGCATATTTAATTCCATTTGTTTAAGATACCTTATAAAATGTATGTATTTGTATAGTGGTTGACTAAATTATTTTTGTAGGATAAGCACTGTATATAAAGGGTCACCTAGATGTTTGTAATAAGAGGTTTCGAAGAAGTATTGTCTTACAATATTAGTAGAAAATAATGTTACAAGTGTTGCTCACACTGTCACACAAAACTTGCAGAGATATGTTGCCTTACCTATGTTTATATCTATTTCACGAAAAAGCACAAATAATACCTATGTTAAAAGTGGTAGAATATGTCACTATTGATTCCATTGACTCATCGACTCTTGGCACCCCTATTTTTGATGAGATGAATGAAAACGAGGGGGATAAGTGAAAAGTATAACTGAAAATTGAGAAAATGATTTAGTAATGTTTGTAATATTCCGTATACGTAGCTCTCAGCTAATATACTAAAATTGCTATCAAATATTGGATTTAAATAGTATAAACAGTAACTGAAACAAACAATTCGATTATTGTATTTTCACTTTCGTATCTAAAATATCGAAGATAGACTGTGTCATAATTATGTGATCTTGTGTGGATTATCACACTTCTGAGTTGGAAATGTATCTTTGTCCAAACCCGTTTTCACTGTCCTACACTGTACTGTGTAAACATGACATACAATTTTTTAATATTGTAGTGTTTAACAAGTAATTATTTGGATGTTGGCCAAGTGAAAAAGTCAATGGATTGGATACAATGTCAAAACTTTTGTTATTGTTCATTTAACATCAATTTTACCTTAATGATCCGGAACATTTATAATATTTGGCTATATTGTTTTCAGATGTCAAAATGTAAACCAAAGAAGTGTTCTAGATGAGACATTTTACACATTTTAATGTTTTTGTTAATCACTAAATCATATTAAAATTGATTTTGTAATTCAGCCTAGATTTTAAGGTGTGAGCATCACGCAAAAGTAGCGACACATATCAGGGCGCGTCCCTAAGTGTTAATAAATGGAAACCAAACAAATTGTTGTTTTATTTACTCTACAAAGCTGGTATGAAAAGGAAAAAGAAAAATTTTCATAGACGAGCAAGTTCTTAAGCTCAAATTAGGTGAAATCTACACTTTTCAAAGGTGGACTCTACAATTTTCAGGAAACTTTCCGGAAAAGTTACCTCCTTTCAAACCACTATTTAGGCCGCCTATGAAACGTTTATTTTAATTAAAAAATTTGCAATTACATTAAAAACGAAAAGCATTATGAAATGAAAACAAATGCAAATACATTATTTAATTTTCAAGAATTAAAAAAATATTATAGTTATGAAATAGTTATGAAACGTGTAAGCGTTATAATTTTAAAATCAATTCTATTTAAGAAGACACTCAAATTGCAGTGCCACCCTTTAATAGGGTGAGGGCTCCATGCAATATGTAGGGGCTGTAGATGATACTGTTTAACTGTTTGTAAAATACATACATCATACGCGTCACCGCAACTAAGATTTCGTAACGATTGTCACACATTTTACAAAGAGTAGTCTAGTTGAGTAGGTATAAGGATAGATGGGATTTGACAAGATGGACTGGATGAGATTAAAGTAGTCAGTACAAAAATAAACCACTGGAATACAGCTCGTTTGTTAGTAAGTATCGTTGAGTTCTTTTCAGCTAGATGGCGCTACGATCTGCGAGGAACGTACAGAAGCATTACACGAATAAAAACAAATGAAGTCAGTACTCACCTACATAGGTTTGTAATAATAAATTAATTATGATTTGAAAATGTCGTTAGTGGTTGTCCAATAGGTACAAATGCGCTATTAAAAACGGCTCAATACTCAATTTGAAAGGACTTCAGTGATCGATCATTGGAATGCAATTGATCCTCCAGACAATAAATAATCGTCACACTTTTATTTTCCGTCTTTATTAAGTGTCATTAGGCATTATTAAGCGCGTATCGATGATGAGCGGCCTTCCGTCCGGTAATTGCCGTGGATGTAAGCGGGCTACAAATTGAAAGCGGCCGGAGCCTCGGGCGATCGGACTTTGGTCCATTGTGCGACGGGAATTTGACGGTGACGGATGCGAGAATAGATGCTGGATGTTGAATAAAGAAAGAAAGAAGAAAGAAAAAATGTTTATTCAGTATCATCGACCATACATAGATGAATAGATGGAGATGGTACATTACATATTATTAGAGGTTTTTGGTAATATTAGGAACTTAGGTATCTTTTAGTTTAAAACATTTTTTAGTGAGATTTAGATTGCATCTTCAGCAGGATGACCAAGATGATTTCACATCGATAAATACAAACTATCCTAAACTAGGTACAACTTTTGAAAAAAATACCGACTGAATTTAGATTGACGGTAACGCCGACTTAAGATATTTTTTGATAATTTTCAGATGTTAAATAATGTAGCTTAATTAAAAAAAATATTCAGGATTTTTCGTATATTTACTTTTTGGAAATGAAATAATAGTGTTTAGTATAATTCACTGTCTTTTGTACTGTGTTTAGATAAGTAGCAATAGAACTACTTACCTAAAAAGGACACTTTGGTTTAACTTTAACAAAGACTAATTAATAAATTTATGATTTTCCGTACACATCCGTTTTAAAAAGTGTAAACTCTGAATAACGACACTCAAGGGACTGAACATTTTTTGACGTTCTAGAGAGTTTTCTATAAATAGAATGACATGTCACGGGAAGAACCTGGATACGGGCAGCGCAGGACCGTTCATTATGGACAGCCTTGGGGGAGGCCTTTGTCTAGCAGTGGACGTCATTTGGCTGAAACGAACGTGAGTGACATGGTAGAGCGGATAAGAAAACAAGGTAAGCCATCAAAGTCAAGAAAATTTCAACGTTATAAGGAGTTTGTCGTTAAATCGAGTGACGTTACTGTACATTGTGAATGCGATGCGAATTGGAATTCAAATGCATCAAAAATACATCTACAACTGAAAAAGCTTTTGAACAGTTTTGATTATTTTTAGTTACTTACTTTAAATGCACCTCAAGTGTAGTAGGTACTCCATTAAACTGGTTGGAATCTGAAGAGAAGAATAGAAAAGTTAAAAGAAAAAAATATGACGGATTTATTTCGTTCCCGTATTAATGGACACGAGAACAAACCTGGTACCGTACGGCCCGTCAAAATTGACGGTTCGTCAAGGTGGGAACAGGGCCTATTGATGGATCTGCTGCCATCGGGAAATTATAGCCGGCCCTTGCGACAGCTTCGCAAATTGTGCGTATAATGCTAGTAAATAATACACCGTTCGCTATAAATTCATAGGCAAGTGCGAGTGCGGATCACGTATCGTATCGTGCGTTTGATCTGCCCGAGTTTGATTTCTTTTTGGTATCGTTTCCGATTTTTGCAGCTTTTCATTTGCGTCTTTGTGGCGCCATAAACGGTAAACAACATAGAATAGATAGGACGCGTTATAATTCGTTATTGTTGAATTTGAATTTTGTCGACTACGCAAGCGATTCATGCAAAGACGAAAGTTTTTCGTTCTAGAGGAACTGGACAAGTAATCACGATATTACGTTCTTGACTTTGGCCTTTGAGATCAAATAATAAGTTCATTTTCTAAATAGATAGCATTGTTCTTTAATTGCTTGAAAAATTGTCTCTATTAGCACGAACTTGATCTATACTTAGGTTACTCCACCTCTTAGCAACGTGCAACGTCGTCTATTACGCGTTGAGTGTCGATAATTCTAAATTATCAGCTCTCTACAATGTAAGTTTTCGCATTAAGTTAAAAGTTAAATGTCTAACATGAATTACATTTTAGAGATATTAAAATATTACTTATTTTTAGAAAAAAATAACTACTAAACTAAAGCATAGAAAACTTGTCATAGAAGGTACCGTTCAAAGGAGGATAGCAGGTAAGTGATTTTGCTCTTCCTTCGTTTACAGTTTATAGAACTTAAGTACCTAGTCAACACCTAATGTCCAGTCCATAAACAGTGTTTTTCATGGAAGGTAGTTAGATAGTGATATCTTGTAAGAAACTTTATTTTATGACCAGTTAACATAACTGGGTACTTAGGCGATGATTGTGGCGTAGATTTCCTTACAATGTCTTGTAACATACAAAGATAGCGATTACCTAGTTGACAAAACCCAGGATCCTGACGATGAAAAGATTTCATGTCTAATTAAAAGTAATAATTACCAATTAAGATTTGTTACCATACACCTAAAGTACCTACCTACTATTTAGAAATATGTACATACAAACTAGCTACAGGAACATTAGCAATCGTGAGCTTACTTATTTAACTTAATAATTAGTGTGTAACATAGGTACAAGTTCACGTATCTAAGTATTGAGAAAAAATCACAGATCTTGAGAACCAGGTGCTTCGATTTTCCAGTTCGTCGAATTTTACTAAAAAGACCGAAAAACAAATTATTTAAAAATAGGTATTTGAACATTATGAATTTGTCAATCAATATGTTTAAAAAATAAATCTGCGACAATCTTTTAGGTGTTTTTAAGCAAATCAAACTAAGTACAAGAATTATTTTAAGGACAAAACTTGACATTCGTGTGCTCTGATGCACCGCTTCATGGCCCTTTGTCCGCGCGAGAGACATTAAAGAGCGCATAACGCGAAGTGCGCTGGCGCAGGGAAGAACGCCGCCCGCGCATAAATTAGCGCGGCCTATTCCGCAGACACCGGCTGATTGACTCTTTTCATTACCGTCCCGCATTGTTCGCCGTGAGAGAAAAATTGCGTATCCCTTTGGAATCACAACACATTTCATAATTATGGACTATTGTGGTGTTGTTGGAGCTAATTCGACGGACGACGAAGCGCTATCCTCGCCCGAGGAGCGCCCGAGATATATTGGCGTTAAAGAAAGACCCTGATGCTATAATGGTCAGCGCTGATTAGTTTTCAAGGAAAACACTAGTTCGAAGAAAGGTCCTGGCCATTAAAAGTTCTGTTCGACACTTCAAAAAGGTATTGTTGTTAAGTTCGTGTCTATTCAAGACATCGTCAGTTCTCGGATTGTGTACCTTTTTGACAGTCCAGTCATTACGCTACGCACAAAATAGAACCTACATTACGCTTTTTATTTTCATGAACAATTACTAAACTCTACAAAAAGCTTACTATAACATCACTTGTTTAACCCTACGAGGGTTAGGGTAAATTGGTTCCTGTAAAAGCTATCCAATAGTTCTGCAGACGAAGCGCATTAGAGCTTGACAAGCTTTATCCGGCTGTATCTATGTGAGACAATGTTTACGATAAGCAATTTGGAATTATTGGCATTAATTGCGAGCGTTCGGGGCGTTGGAGGCATTGTTCGTGGCGGCAGATTATCAGTGATTAAGGCGATGGAGGTGTTTGCCCCACGTGCCGGCCCGGTCGTGCCCCGCAGATCGCGATCTCAACATATCGCGCCTGTGGGAAACCTTTACGATTTGCCCGTGCCTATGGACAATTGGTTGGAAAATTCTAAACGAAGTTTTAAAGCTTTATTTAAAAAGTACATACGCTAGCACTGTAATTATTGGGTATTTTTTAGCTCAACAGGGCTGTTAAACATAGGCACTTGTGGCGGATCTCATAGCTATGAGACTTTCTATACATCCTCCTAGGCTACCTAGGAGGATGTATAGAAAATGATTCGTCAGTAGAAAAAGTTAAAAGCCTCATGCAAACATATATTAGTACATCAACTGTTGATATACCTATGTATGTGCCTTCCTCTATTTAATAACACCTATTGATTTTAAGCGTTAATACGTTGTAGATGTTGCATGTTTCCTTAGCATAGTGTCTCGAACAATTTACTTCAATCTGCTTCAGAGATACAAATCAGAAAGACGCAGGTTAATTTGGCGCCCATTTGTGTGCCGTTCCGTTCAATCGAGGAACAGTTTAAATGTCGTTCAGGTCAGCACAGACGGGCTGTCGTGGCAAACGTTTTTCTAAGTCAGTGTAACGGTGTCCGGCT